CTAGCTTACTGGTAGTCTCATACAGCTAACAAACAATTAGGCAATTAGGCATCATAATCATTAGGCATCTCAGACATCAAACATGGCGCTGCTGTGAATAAGGTCTATACCACACAGCAGTTTAATCTTGATTGGGAAAGCTCCACTTTATTAAAAAATGTAGTATTAAAATATTTTATTCGAAATGTTTAATCACCAATAGGCTAGACATTCATGTGAACGCAAAAGTAGAAACCGCAATATAAAAAGTAAATCCAAATAGATTTTATTTATATGTGCAGTTGTATTGTGTATCCGTGCAGTGGAAAGGCACAAACATCGCTGTGGATTTGGCTGTGTATACAATGAAAAACATTGGGAATGGGAACTATCATGAGCTCTTACCCTGGGCTGCACACAGATTACAGCACAATGGAGCACATTTAAACAATCTGGCGTCTGGCCTGTTTCTAAATCAGTTTCTTTGGGTGAATTATAAACCTGTGTATTTTGTGGGGTTGATTGTGATCACATGAGATAATCATTTTACTAAAGTTTCTAACTCACCAGTTTTCCATTGTGAAACAGCTGCTGCTGAGGCACAGGATAGTCTGTTTCTTGATAGATCAGGGTCTTGATGTACCTGATCACTGTAGACGGGGGAACCTGGAAGACCCTCTTGCCTAGATAGTCATGATAGACTATCACCGATGGCAACCTAAAATCATCAAGGAAATATTGTAACCCATAACTATTCACAGTCCTGAATCTCACGAAATCTTCCATGTTCAGGTGATATTTCACCTCAAAATCAAAGAAAGATTTTTTTTTTAAGAATATATATATATATATATATATAGATAGATAGATATTTTCACTGTGGTGTTGTCTTTATAAAAATAAAGTGCATTTCCCCCAAATTCTAATTAAAAAAATTGAAAAAAAGAAAATTTTTGACATTATTGCATGCAATGTGGGAAAAACTATTTCAAGTATAAATTATTTATATCATGCAAGTATACATAGTTCATGTACATTGTGACTATTACAGTATTTTTATCTTTTACAGTAAATAATTATAAATTATTTTAAAATAATAAAAATCTCATGAGAATTATAAAGTCGGCTCAATGTTACGAAGCAAGTATGTTAATGATCCTTGATTTTTAAAATGAATGGAACTGGACATCCACAGTGATCTATCTGGCCATCATGATAATAATACTAAAGAAAAAATGACATTTTCTATACATTTTTTTTTTTTTGACATTCCAGTTAAATTCCAAATTCTCAATGTGTGGTCAAGAGTTTCTGTCTTAAGACAAAGTGAGTCTGACAAACAAGACACAATGATCTCTTTATTTCTGTTCATCCAAAGGAGAAGCAAGGCTTTGTCTTCTTGGGTGCTTTTTTATGGCTTAGACTGATAATATTTTCATGCACAAAAACAATCCCTAAGAAAAGTGCCTGGATCCTGCCACGTCACCTCTGCAGTTAAAAATCAAATTACACCTATTAGGGGCTATCAAGTTTGAGCTGTATCCACATGCACTTCTAACAGCCAGAACTTGAAGGGATTTGTATTTTGCCCAGCTGACAGATTATGACATTTTACTGCAGTAAAAGAACACAAGTGAGTGACACATACTGTATGTCTAGTTTTAGATCTTGACCTGTTGTCAGGCAACCAATGAAAGTCCCAGTGGGTCAATGACTGTATCATGTATTTGTGTGCAAGGGTGGGGCATAATACCATGCACACTATCTAGTGACAATTCACATGCTACCAATTTATTGTATTGATAGGAATAACACATAGACTGGCTAACTAGTTAATTATCGTGTTGAATTTGTTATTAATAACAAAAGACTATGATATAGTGTAGTTTTGAATAGTTAGCGGTCTCGTCCAAGTCATAAACAACAACAAGCCGGCCACTAAACTAATTAATCTTAACTTACCACGGGTCGTGAATGGTTGCCATTGCTTTTCAGCCAAACTGCCGTTATTCGCGTGCGCAGACATTCATCGATCCCTCCGCATGGAGCATTTACGCTAATGCTGTAAGTTACCGTTATCTCCCGGAGAAAATCCTCCGCATTGGGCATTCATTGATTTAACGTTACTCCGACCCTTTTGGTCTCAGTCTCAAAGAATCATCCCATCCTGTGCAGTGTGGCCGTGTTTTGCGCTTGGACCCGCCTTCTCCTCCTCCTCCTCCTCCTCGTCCTGAGTGGTATTGATGCGGTTTGATAAACGGCTCGCGGTGTTCAGACAACGGGTTGTCCCATAGAGATGTCACGCTTTGTCGCAGTGTTCTAAAATAAGGATTCTGGAAGAAAGAAAGTAGTATAATGTCATAAAACAGCATCATCTATGATAACGCCTTCTTAAGAGCGTTTCTATGACGGCTGCGGTTTTCTGCGCATTTTTGATTCTGACTGAGCGCGCCATGAATGCTGGGAGTTGAAGTTCTCAAGTCTAGTGTTATGCACTTGATATGGGCAGAAAACTAGTCCTACATAATATTATATACAGTAGGCTACATTATATACACTTCGTAAAGGAACACTATAATAAGAAGAAATTATATTATTATTATTATATAATACATTAATAATATATTATTATATTATACAGAACACTATAAAAATAATAAGCACATAGATAATACATACAAATACATCATTTTTTGACATTAAGAGTCTGTGACCAAACGTTTGAGTTTGAAGGATCTAAGCCTATGTATGTATTTTACACAGAGTTAAACAACTATAGCCTAAATCAAAGTTCAGATCTCAGAACAAGATCAATTCTAATTTGAATAAATAACCGATTGTAATATTGGGTTGAACTTTTATAAGGGATCCTTTTTTACAGTGTAATATACACTTAAGTAGGCTACTGAGTAATATTATTTAACAGCATGTACTTACTATAGGGTTTGGTTTAGGGTTAGTTGCATGTAATTATGCGTAATTTAGCCTACTGTTATTACTAACATGTAACACTAAAATAAGGTACCTCATTTTGTAAAATTGAAAGCATTGTATCTTTCCCCTTTTCTAATTATATATATATATGAAGAGTTTTCTTCTTTAATGATAATTTTTATCAAACTTGTATATTTAAGTTCAGTAATTTCACTTAAATAACAATTAATAGGTAATTATCATTGCCATTTAAGCGAAATCACTGAACTTAAATATACAAGCTTGATAAAAATGATCATTCTAGAAGAAAGTTTCAAATGGCACTTAGAGGGTTTTGCATCTGAACTCTTCATATATATATATATATATATATATATATATATATAAGGCCTATGCTATTGCAAGCAACTTTGCAATCTTATTGAGCCACTGAGTGATTTTTTACTGTTAAAAGTCACATTAGTTACAATTGTAAACATATAACACATACTTTCAAAAACTCTTTTAAAACTTTTTTTTTATTTTTTATTTTTTATTTTTTTAAAGATAGTTTCTTTAATAAGCCTATCCCATAAGTTAAATAGCCTACATTATGCACACTTACAGTTGGGAATTAAATGTTGAATGCATTTAAAGTCAGAGTGAAAACATGTCATCATGCTGAAGTTTTCTTAACATTTTTTTTGTGGCAGAAAACTGGAAAATATAAAAGAATAAGCATACATAAGAAAGGAGTTATGACGCAGTATTGGAGATACCGAATGACGTCACATTACCATTGCACCAATACACAAACATTACTAACCTTGGCAAAATGTTTTTTTTTTTTTGTTGTTTGTAAAGGAGATGCCAACAAATGACAATTAAAATTGCAAACACTTGCAATTTCTCGAACATTTAAAAATATATTTGCATCGTTCTCATCCTATTTAATTGCATATAGCCTATAGATACTGAATGAATTCGTGATGTTATAAAATAAAAACGTACCTTTTATGACCTAATTTTGTTTTTCAGTTGCTGAAATCGCGCAAAGTGAATTAGATGACATTCGAGCGAATCCAAAGCATGCCTCAGCATGTTTTCCTCTGTAAATCCAGTGCTGCAGTCGGCAGTTCCTCACGGGACAGTCCGAGGGTCAGTGTGATTTGATCTGCTGAACTGATCATGTTCTTCAGACGCATCCCTGCAGCATGCTGCGGTATCTGTGCTTGTATGGGTGTTCTTTATGTCGCATGCAATATCATTTAATGCATAATGCCCACTAGCCTATACACTAAACTAAATCAAGCAGTCTTTTGCGAGTCACCGTTTCATCATCACTGCATCATAGCACTGCATCAGCTGTTTGAGCAAACCAGATCTCTTAAAGCTACAGTAAACACCTTAGTCAGGGAGGGTAGACCATAGACTGTAAAAAATAGGGGTAGGGTAGACGTACGAGTAGATCGATATGAAAACGAGTCTACGAGGGATATAGCTAACTAGTCACAGTAGGTTGGAATGTTTAATTTTAGTGGATCCCATTATGAAAAGAAAAGAGATAAACAGAAGAAACAGACACACGAGAAAAAGGCTATTAGGTAGGAATATAAATCAGGATTTCACAACAGTCCAGTAGATGGAGATATGGTACAATGTTCTCAAAAAAAAAAAAAAAAAAAGTTTGAAGAGACCAAGGGGGGATACAATATATGATACATTATTTTCTAAGGCCCCCAAACTTCCAACATAAAACCTTTGCTGAAAAACCTGTTGCACAAGATCTATGCTTTGTGTCATCTATGACTTTCTGACTGATGGGCATTCAAGTTTGTTTACGCATTGAACTCGTTGCCTCAACAAAATGATCTCATGCTCAACTAAATTAAGTTTGCCCTGTTGTAGGCTATATTTTAACATTATACGACTTGGTGAATGACTGTAATCAGTTATTCAGGGAAAACTAAAAAATGTGCATTTTTTTTTTTTTTTTTTGCCAGTGCAATGCAACCTGACGTGACGTCATCATCGCTCGTCACAAATCACACAAAGTGAAAGTAATGTTCAGAGTTGATCCGCCGTTTGAACGGTCGCAGTCAGTTCTTTACAACACGGAGTATCAAAGTGTTTAATGAGAAAATTAAAAAAAAAAGCGTGCAGCTAACTTACTTGATGGAAAAGGAATATTTGTGAATCTAATTACATGTTGATCAAGGTGAATGTTCAGGTCTCGAGACGCTTTACAAGTAGTCTCACCCTCAGACGTCACGCCCACGGAACGTTGGCTAAAGCCGTCAGTCTGAAGGCCTGGCTACGCGAGACTACAGGTGACTTCTACCTTCACATTTTCCATAAGCATTATTTCTTTGATATGAATTTGATACTTTTCAATTTTAGCATGTTAATGTTGTTTCGCTGGTGTTGCAGTGTCGTGTTGCCTGATGATTATTTCTGCTTTTGTGTATACGAGTGTGTAGCCTATTTGTTTGTACGCCGCTTCTCATGATCCTGTTTCTATTAAACCACATTTAAATGACAGAGGATGACAAGAAGATGATTTTGTTACGTTAAAACTGAGAACTTTATTTAAAAACAGTATGCTAGCCTCCCCCTAAAGTGTTTTTTGACGAAAAAGGCCTCCTGTTTATGAAGGCCTCCAAACTTTTAAAATAAACCTTGTCTGACGTTTTGACTGCTTCTTCAGGATCAGTCAGTGTATCTGTCAGCTTGCTTCCTTAAGATCACCCCCCCCCCCCCCCCAATACAATATTAATGGAACTGCCTTGTAGAAATCAACAGTTTCACAGGTAATGATAATGAACAAGTTGTTTATTATTTTAATGTTTATTATGCCCCATGTCCAGATAGAAAAAGTGCAAATGAATAACAATAAATTATAATAGGGAATACAATATAGTTCTTTAATCAATCAATCCCCAGCTGAAGACTACATATCTTTAAAATTCACTGTAGTCAAATTGACAGTTGGATAATGGATAATAACAGTCTGTATTGATAATAATTGATAGCAGGTTTGTGTGGGGTGGGGGGTGGGGGGGTCAAAGTGAGTGAGTTGGAGAGAAAGATGTGTGAGTGTGAGCGAGGTGAGTGTGGGTAACTGTCTGGTTAAACCCCGCGAAGGTCAGTGAAGACTGAAGATTGTGTAATGACGTAGGTCTAGTTGATTGGTCGCACCTCAGAGGCGCCCCCGCGCCATTGGATGTGCAGTTGCCGCAGCTCAGCCTATGAGCGAACCAGATGCTCAGTGTTTTGGCTGTGTAGCTGCAATTGCGTTTTACATATAAGCTTCAGTAAATCGAGGAAAAGGAGTTTCCCTGCACACTCACTAAAAGAAGTTCACATGGCCGTCGTCAGTTTTGGAAGTCACTCAAAATGCTCTTTCACGCTGGCTTCAGTCGACTTCAGTGAGGCGCGGTGGTTTATGGGAGGAGTAATTCCTTTGCTTGGAAATTAAAATATGTACACAGTCTTGTACCCTTGACTTTTTTGGGATTTTCTCTTCGTTTTTTCACTCGAAATGATATGTTGTATGCTTATGAGTTCAGCCGTAGCTGGTTATCCTCAGACATGCTCTAAAACTCTTTAGATATGGATCTTACAAAACGTCAATGGGAGAAATTAATGGGAAATTGAATTGATCAAATTGAATTGATCAAAATTTTTATTAACATATCAGAGAGCTCCAGTGGTTAGATAAGGACGCTCTTTCTCGGCGCCCCGAGGATAAAACTACATGATTAAGCTGACAGACAAAAAGATCCCTACCCCCTCCCCATCCTCTAGTGTGTAAAACACGTACACCTGTACTGAAGAAAATCTGATTTTTGTCAAACTTAAAACTTAAAACTTTTTTTTTACTTGGTAGGAGGGCCGGCGCCTCAGCACCCATAATAGACCAGCCGCCTCTGCAACTATTGTGTATTTGATTGAACGCTGCTTCTCATGATCCTGTTTCTCTGAATCTCAGGATCTATTCAGCTGAATTATTGTGAATTATTGATTGTTTATCATTTCCATACATAATCAGTGTTTGAGATCAGATTCTGTTTCAACTCTTCAGATTCATCATGGATGACACTCAAACATCCAGAGATGAAAATTTTTCACCAGGATGCAGGTACTTTGAATAAATAAATTAAACCACATTTAAATGACAGAAGATGACAAGAAGATGATAGGCTAAATTAGGGTAAATCTGCTAATTTTATTTAAAAACAATTAGATCAGCCTCCACATAAAGTTCTGTTTGATGAAAAAAAATGTTTAGACCTTTTATTAAATGATTATCATCATAAAGGATTAAATCTGCTCTGTTATAGTTCAGTTGATCAGAAGAGATCAGAGCCAGAGCCCAGCTGTGTGTCTATGAGGAGTGACGGGTCTATGAATCCACCAATGCATTTTAAGAGTGGAGATACACAGACTGATCTCAGGTATACTATTTATTGAACAAAAAAAATTATTATATAGCTTCTTATATTATCAGAACAATATAAATAGTATTTGTTTTTTGTTGGATATTTTAACATATATAGTGTTCCTCGCACAGAGAGATACCTCTGTGAAAGCACTGGTCAATTTATTTTTAAATAACTAAATAATGATGATTAATTGATTGTTTTAATAATTTTGATAATAAACCAATATGTATTTAAATTATTAACATGAACCTCTCTCTGTTATAGTTCAGTTGATCAGAAGAGATCAGAGCCAGAGCCCAGCTGTGTGTCTATGAGGAGTGACTGGTCTATGAATCTGCCACTGCAATTTAAGAGTGGAGACACACAGACTGATCTCAGGTATTCTCTTTCTAGAAAAAAAATGATTATATAGCTTTTTATATTATCAGAATAATATAGTATTTATTTTTAGATATTTTAACATATATAGTGTTCCTCACACCGAGTGACACATCTATGAAAGCACTCAGTTTATTAAACAAAGTTTAATTTATATATTTATACTGCCCTACAAAGCAAAAAGGCAATGCATTTTTGGTCAAAAATTAGTTATTATTTTCATGACATTCAAGGCATCCTTTGTTATGTGACAAAACATCTTATCTCAAATGTGTGTCGTTTTGAGAATTGGTAAGTCGTTTATACAGTAACTGCAAAAAGCCCTAGTGAAAGTCATTTTTCTGCACTCTGCCTAGTTACTGCCCTTTTTGCTTTGCAGGGCACTATACATAATAACTAAATAATGATCATTAATTGATTGTTTTTATAATTTGATGATAATAAACAAATATGTAGTTTGTTAAATATGATATTTTAAATTATTAGCATTAATCTCTCTGTTATAGTTCAGTTAATCAGAGGAGATCAGAGCCAGAGCCCAGCTGTGTGTCTATGAGGAGTGACGGGTCTATGAATCCACCAATGCATTTTAAGAGTGGAGATACACAGACTGATCTCAGGTATACTATTTCTAGAAAAAAAGTGTTTATATAGGTTTTTATATTATTAGAACAATATAAATAGTATTTATTTTTTTCTTGGATATTTTAACATATATAGTGTTCCTCGCACAGAGAGACACATCTGTGAAAGCACTGGTCAATTTATAATTTTTAAATAACTAAATAATGATCATTAATTAATTGTTTTAATAATTTGATAATAAAGTAATATTTAGGTTATTAAATATGGTATTTTAAATTATTAACATGAACCTCTCTGTTATAGTTCAGTTGATCCGAAGAGATCAGAGCCAGAGCCCAGCTGTGTGTCTATGAGGAGTGACGGGTCTATGAATCCACCAATGCATTTTAAGAGTGGAGATACACAGACTGATCTCAGGTATATAATAAAAAATATGATAATAGTATGGCATTTTTAGACATTATTAGAATGTGATCAGTATTTTATAAGCAAATTTCTTGTTGTAGATTGTTTACAGGCATTTTTATTTTTATCTGATATTTTAACGGGTATGTTACTCACACAGGGAGACACATGTGAAAGCACTAAGTTCAATTTACAATTTTTGTAACAGAATAAAATTGTCTAACAGTGCTATTCAAAAATAATTGTTTTAGTGATTAATTCTTATTATAAAGCTATAAATGTTATTCCATTATATTAGTTATAAAATGAATAAATAATAGGCCTGCAATGTAATTTAATCTCAAAGATATAGAGGTAAGTTGTGCAGAAAGCCCTTATATGGAGATGGTTTGGGCATCTTTTATGCAAATGACTAAACTTGTGCTTGTGCCACTCATTTATAATGCTCACAATTCACTAACATTAGAATGAGATTAAGAACAAATTCATGTGCGTATGCATGTGTTGTGAATTTGGCTAAGATTTTTCATCCTGTATGTAGAAAAAATAAATAATCAATGTTTATGTAATAATAATGACACATTTACATTTTACAGACATGAAGTCGTGAACACGTTTAGATCAAATCTGATGAAGAAGTTTGAGTGTTTTTATGAAGGAACAACCAATCAAGGAAACCCAACAGTCCTGAATGAGATCTACACAGAGCTCTACATCACAGAGAGTGAGAGTGGAGACATCAGTAATGAACATGAGGTGAGACAGATTGAGACACAATCCAGGAGAGCAGCAACAGATGACACAACGATCAAATGCAATGATATCTTTAGACCTTTACCTGGACAAGACAAACCCATCAGAACTGTGCTGACGAAGGGAGTCGCTGGCATTGGAAAAACAGTCTCTGTGCAGAAGTTCATCCTGGACTGGGCTGAAGAGAAAGACAATCAGGACGTCCAGCTCATATTTCCACTTCCTTTCAGAGAGATCAATCTCATGAAGGACAAAACACTCAGTCTTTCAGAGCTTCTTCATGTCTTTTTCCCTGAAACTAAGGAAATAGAAATATCCAGTGACAAATATAAAGTGTTGTTCATCTTTGATGGTCTGGACGAGTGTCGTCTGTCTCTGGATTTTCAGAGCGATGTGAGGTTGTGTGACGTAAGTGAATCAGCCTCAGTGGACGCTCTGTTGACGAACCTCATTGTGGGGAATCTGCTTCCCTCTGCTCTCATCTGGATCACCTCCAGACCAGCAGCAGCCCATCTCGTCCCGTCTGAGTGTGTCCATCGAGTGACAGAGATACGAGGCTTCAATGATCCACAGAAGGAGGAATACTTCAGGAAGAGAGTCAGTGACCAGAGTCTGGCCAATACAGTCATCACACACCTGAAGTCCTCAAGGAGCCTCTACATCATGTGCCACATCCCAGTGTTCTGCTGGATCTCAGCCGCTGTTCTGGAGAAGATGTTGAGCGAAGCAGAGAGACGAGAGGTTCCCAAGACTCTCACTCAGATGTACACACACTTCCTGATCCTTCAGACCAACATCAAACATGAGAAGGACTATGAGAAGAAGGTGACAGATGAAGACATGGTCCTCAAACTGGGGAAACTGGCTTTTCAGCAGCTTGTGAAAGGCAATGTGATCTTCTATGAGGAAGACGTGAGAGAGTGTGGCATTGATGTGACAGAAGCATCAGTGTACTCAGGATTGTGCACTCAGATCTTCAGAGAGGAGTTTGGTTGGTATCAGGGGAAAGTCTTCTGCTTTGTTCATCTGAGCATTCAGGAACATCTAGCGGCTCTATATGTGCATCTCTCCCTCACAAACAACAGAAATGTGTTTGACTCAATCACTAAACAGAGTTTGCGGTCTGACGTTAAGGACTGGTTTCGACAAAATTCATCAGAACATGTTTCATTATCTGCTCTGCATCAGAGAGCTGTGAATGAGGCTCTACAGAGTAAAAATGGACATCTGGACCTTTTCCTGCGGTTCCTTCTGGGTCTGTCAGTAAAGTCTAATCAGATTCTCCTTCAAAAACTAATGAAACAGACACGCAGATCTCACAGCAACGTAGAAACAGTCAAGTACATCAAGAAGAAGATCAAGACCATTGACTCTCCAGAGAAATCCATCAATCTGTTCCACTGTCTGAATGAACTGGGTGATCATTCACTAGTGGAGGAAATACAACGGTATCTGAAATCTGGAAGAATAAAGGAAACCAAACTCTCTTCATCTCAGTGGTCAGCATTAGTCTTTGTGTTGTTGACCTCAGAGGAGAAGCTGGATGAGTTTTTTCTTGATCATTATGTTGGAAGAGAAAATAAAACAGAAAAACTAAAGGTTCTTCAGAAGCTGCTTCCTGTGATTAAAGAATCCAGATCAGTTCAGTAAGTATCAGTCAGAACAATCAGTTCACTGTTAAAGGTATAATAAGTAAGAATTTTGTAATAAAATATCCAAAAATCACTTGCACAGTGGGTTATATTTCCTGCAGTTGTGTACTTAAAAAATCTCTGGAGACTTTTGGGATATTGTATTTCAGAGAATTTTTTTAAATGTGGCCGTCCCGGAAAAAATGTCGCCTGTCAGTGATGCAATATCTGCGCTATCCTCGGTTTATGCTCGTATTGCCATAGCATGACGTAACCATGGCGACAGACGTTGACAACTGCGTAGTGCGTAATGTTTAGTGGCACGCAGTTCTTGTTTCTTTCAAACATAGACCATGGCAAGCAGACTTTGGGACTAACAAAGAGAACTAAAATGAAGATTAATATCAGCGTGCCGTTTTTGAGATGCCGAGAGCTCCACGTCCACAACTAACTAGAACTTGACAGAGCTTCACAAGTCACGACTTGACAGCTTTATTAGACAGGTGAGCAAATGTACAGAATCGGCAGTTCGGCAGAATTAAATGTCCTTATTCCTTTATATCCACGGGACTCGCATGTGATATCTGTATCTTTAGCAGTCGCGACCTGCTTCATACCACTGTAATGTTAAAAAAACATGAATCTCTGCACTCATCCATAAACATCATTAGATCCATCCATCAGCTTGACAGCAAGTCCCATCATTCAGCTCATCACTGCGTCATCAACCTATGCCTTTGTTATTGTTGTAGATGTTGTCGAGAGTTCAGTGGTCAGTATTTTATATTGTTTCCTAAACCGTGCCGTTTTGCAGCGTGTAATTGGCCATCGATCCTCTCAGCAGCAAGAAAAACAAAACTTTTATTCAATGGATTATATATAGCCTAGAAAGAGCACTTCTTTGCAAAAACTAAAAGCTGTCACTCATCTCAGTTCACAATCTCACAAAGTTTCATTATAAAAAATAAAGATGTCTACACTGCATGAAGAAAAATTTGTTAATGAAAGGATTTGCGAACATGCAGAAATCAGCACTGAACAAAAACTAACTAGAGTGGATTCCGACTAAATAAAGCACCTCTGATTGGCCATTGCATTCAAGAGATGGACTATTGCATTCATTTCTCTCTGTTTAAAAAACATGTTAATAAAAACATTTTACCATAAATCTTGTTAAAAACATTGTTAAAAATATTGGAATTAACATTTTTTGGAAAGCTATTTGATAGTGTTTGAATTATGTTATTTTTTGTTCTCTACAGGTTGATGGATTGTGGCGTCACAGATGAAGGTTTTGCTTTTCTGACTTCAGCTCTGAGATCAAACCCTGAACACCTGAGAGAACTGGATCTGTCTGGGAATAAAATAGGAGAATCAGTGAATCTGCTGTCTGATGTCCTACAGAATCCTCACTGTAAACTGGAGAAACTGTGGTAAGATCATATTTGACTCTCACACATGAATCACAATGTAAAGTATATTTGAAGTGTTCAGCCTCTTTCTGCTGCTGTGAGTTCAGCTGATTGAGCTGTAAATGATTGAACACATGAGCTGATCCTCAATAACATGAAACTGCAGGACTGAGAGTCACACTGAAATACACACTTTCACACACAATCAAATGTAAAATGAACATTTTGTGTACTCGCATGTGCACACTTAAAAAACAATGCTTTAAATCTCTTGACAAACTAAAAGACGTAAATAACATTCGTATGACATCTAAATAAAAGTTACAGATTGTACTGAATAGCTTGCTTATTTAGCTCAAGATGAGGATTTATTGAGTCCACATGCCATGAAAACTAGAAACTATTCTTCTAACCACAGGTCGAGAGCTGTCGTTCCAACCACACAACTTTGCGATTGTTTGTTAAAACAATGGTTTCAGGAAACACTGACTTATTGAACTATGCTGATAACGACGGAACATGCAACCATTTTACATTACATTTACATTTCTGCATTTGGCAGACGCTTTTATACTGAACAACTTAACATTGGATTTCAAGGTACACATTTACATTCTTACCAGTTCTTGCTTTTCCTGGGAATCGAACCCATGACCTTGACGTTGTAAGCGGCAACGCTTGACTGTTTGAGCTACAGGAAACCATACTTGGCTCACAATGCTTTTGGGAAACCCAACACTGATATCTATCGTGGCTTCAATCCAGCAAGAGAAGTGCAGATCAGTTTCATTGAACTTTTCATCATTTCATCATTCACCAGTAAAATAATATTTAATTCAGTGATTCCTCTGCACACCACAGTTTGAGAATCAGTGAAATAGAGTCATTTATTAAAGCAGATTTTGCACTATACTGACTTTTATTATAGTGTAAATAGATTATTTTTCCTGATTGAATGATACTTGAGATGTTTTATGATCATGTTTTGTGACATTTTATATCTCAATCTAATGATCCATCAAAACATTAATTTGTGCTTTTAGTTTCGTTAGTTAGTTTAGTTTTAGTTTAGTTAGTTAGTTTTTAGTTAGTTTAGAACTTTCTCTTAATGGATTCACTGCTAAACTGATCTGATCTGAACTGAGAGAGTGAAGAGTGTGTCGTTGTTCTCTACAGGTTGAAGGATTGTGGCGTCACAGATGAAGGTTTTGCTGCT